ATTGGTTTCAGCGACTATAAATCTGAAGAGGTGGTGGAGAAGAAGCTGACTGCGAAACAGGAACTAATGGTGAAGAAGACACAGTTAGAGGGTCACAAACAACATGAACATTAAATATATTAAGAATGTTGACAGGATTGGATGAAGACAGATGTGAATATTGACTTTTAAAATAAAGGGAGAACTCATCAAAGTTCACATCTGTAGACACAAAATAACAGTTAAGAGAAGGAGAAAAATATTTGTATCCTTTTTGTGATCTTGTAAACCCTAAGAAAACACATTTATTTGATTTAGGAGAAAACTTGTCAAAACCATAACTTAAATTATGAATAAAACATGTAGATTCGAAAACTCTTAGAGGTAAGGAATGAAGAAGTTTAGGAAGGAATAAAATGGAATGAGTTATTTTATTATCTAAAACCGAAGAAGACATGCGATTAACGAAATAACATGTAGTAAGAAGAACATCACTCCAAAAATATTAAGGAACATTTTCATGAATTAAAAGAGTGCGATTTGTTTCAAAAAGATGTATATTTGCTACACCATTTTGTTAAGATATATAAACACAAAAAGTTTGATGCAGAATACCGTGATAAATTCTTTCATTGTTACTTATTATTTAATTGATGACTTTTTATCTCAATCATATGATTTTCTTCCACATAACATTTTTTAGTTTTATTTATTTAAATGATAAGAATTTGACATTGTTTTGAAAATCTAATTGGATTAATAAGAACTTGCCGTAAGAATTTTGTTTGAATTTGTCTTTTTCATTTTTTATTTTTTTTTTAAGTTAACTTAAAACATTTTAAAGACAAATGAAGATTAGTTATTTCGCATAAGTTTAAATTATTTTGTCAAACTATTAATAGTTATTTTTTTCATTAAACTTTATAATTTAGTCGTTCATATTAATTTATATCTTTATAGATCTTGATTTCCTATAGTTTATTACTTAAAAGTATTTTATAATATTTAAAATATAAATTTAATTATTACCAGTTCATAAATCAGTCCATTAATTGGTTTAATCACCAAATCAATTTTAAAAACAATGCAAATTTCTAATATTGTAGACATATTTTAACTATATCGTGCACATGTTGTTTCTTATAATTAATAAAATATTAAAACCTTATTCAACATTAAACTAACTGCTAATAATCAATACTTGCATAAATAGCTTAATAATTATAAGTTCAAATGAGTTTAGTCAAAATATAATATACTAATATTTCGTTAATGTTTATATTATGTATACGATTATGATATTCATATTTTATTTATTAACAGTTTTCTAAAAAATATAACTAATTATATTATAGATATTTATATTTATTTTATTATGGTAATAATAAATAAAATTGCTAATAATAAAAAATTATATACTTTTTCATTTTTTATATATATAATCTAAACAATTTTATTGTATATTTTGAATTTTGTTTTTTCTTTTCATTCAAACAAAAGTTTAATGATTAATACAAATTTGGTGATATTATCTGATTTCACATTCATTTAGTGATATTTATTACTTATAATTACTGTAAAGAGATTGGATTATAATTTTTTTTAAAATACTATTTTTAGAAATACTTATTTTTTTAAATTATAAACCACGAACAAATTCTTGACAAATTCTAATGAACAGTAAACAGTTTCTTTAAAGAGATGAAAATCACAAAATAAACACTGTAAATACTTGAAGAACATACCCCATTACACAGAAAAAAAGAGTTGTGATTAAGAAATGAAATGATATTGGCTTGATGTGCAAGCCAAGTATGGTAATCAGTTGAGAGAAAAAATGCTTCAAAGATACAGCACTTGGCTTCAAAGTATCAAATATTTCCCATCACACTAATCACAATCGCCCCACTAGGCACTATGATTCATATTGGACATCTAAAAATATAAAAAATACAAACTCATACATATATATTCTATGTCCCTACTTCATTATTGTCCTACAGATATGCTTCCACCCACTACACCTTACCATTTACTATGTTTGCAACGGCTTGGCAGAAATAATGCAACAGAAAAGATGACTGAGAAGAATATTTTTTGTATTTTTTGGTACTGCAGTTCTATGACCCACCAAATAATCTACATATACCTCGTACAGTGGTTCTCACTGGATTAGATGCAGTGGCGTGGTTATTACTCTCTTTTTAACCATCATGCCATTGTTGATATTGGGCGATATATTTATGATCTATGCAACATAATTATGGAACCTATAAGCAATAGGGTTTCTGTTTATTCCTACCAAAACCATTGTTATTTAATTATTTCTCAAAATATGATTTTTTTTTAATTTGGTCTAATATATCTATTTTCTAATTCTTATAATATTGTATTAATCTGGAATTTTTTGAATGAAAAATGATTAATTCTTTTCAAAAGAAAATTCATTCAAAACTGAAGACAAATAGGATATATATAAAAAAAATATCTAAGATGAACAAATATATGATAGAAGGATTATTTTTTTTGTTCTTGCATCTCTTCTCATTCAATTTGCATCTTAGGCACAAAATTATTATGAATGAAAATTTTAAAGTGAATAATCAGATAGATGCTAATGATATTATCATAATATCTTAAAACATTGATATTTATCATAGAATCAATAGTAGAGTCTCACTTTATTCATACTTATTTTTTAATTTTCGATTATGACTTATATTTTGATATATTCACAGGTCTTACATCATTTAAAGTCTCACTTTACTCACTTAAACGTCTTTTAAAAATAATATTACAAAAAATTAATTTTAACAATATTATTATAATCGATATAAGATAAAAAACTTTAAAATAAACTATATCTCGAAAATAAGATTTAATCTGACAATATTATTCTAACAAATATAAAATTTGAATTATCTAACGAATATAAAACTTCAAGATACTCATTCTAGAACAAAAATTGAAATATAAGCATATTTTATCATATTTTTGTCCTGAAAGTAAAGTGTAACATCATACTACATACTACAAACGTTAAAATCTAAAATCCACCTTAAAAAATATATGTTAGCGTGAATATTTAGAAGAAGTACCAAAGTGAAGATGTTCATCCACAACAAAATAGATTTGAACTTTACAGGTACTTGATGAAAACTATTGTGATGATGTGTGGAGATACAGATAAGTCAAGCTTTATGTGCTATTGAGTATTTTTCAGAAAAAAAAAGGCGAAAATGAGTGTATAAAAGCTTGTTAGATTTATTTTTATTTTTAGTTTTTAAAAATAAATTATAGAAAAATATAGTTTGATTATATTTTAAAATTAAAAATGATAAAATTATTTTCAAAATTAATTTTAAAATTTTAAAAAAGAAAAACATGATTTATACTAATGTTTAATAATACATACTATTTTACACCCTTTTTAATAAGAAACTTTTATTAATAATTTGTTGAACTTGAAACACAGATGAATGATCAAGGTTGAATAGATGGTTAATACAACAAAAATTAACAATGTCACAGTAATAAAAGTGCAAAAAAAGTATAAACATAACTCATTCACTTACATATTGATGAATCTCAAACGAAAAAAAAAAAATACATGTGAGTGATGATCGAACAATTGATCACTCTTATAAGCGACAGTTTATTTTAAATAAATAACTTTTTATTTTTATTTTCATCTCAATTAATTAACTTGACATACTTAACTAAACTTTAAATACAAAAATCAAATCAATATACATGTTTAAAAGAAAATTTAATCATATATAGTGTATTCCTTAATGTTCAATTTTCTTCTGTTAATAAATATATTTAATGAGAATGGAATAAATTCTTAATAATAAAAGATATTATTTTAATACAAATTTTGTTTAAGATACATGAGAGTTATTTATATAAATAATTTTGACATATTTTAATTAATAATTCTTACTAAAATGTTCTAAATCTTTTTAGATAAAAAATTAAAATTAATTTTTTAATTTATATAAAATTTAATGTATAATTTTTTATATAATTGTGTATAAATTAATTTAATTTAATTTTCTCAATCTTTATCTACTGGAAAAACTAGATTAGTGCCAAATATACGCAGCTTGATAACAAAACAATATAGCATGTATTTGGAGAGTCTACGGAGAGAGGGCATACACAGAAGCACGTCGTGAAGAAGTGAAACCGAAGAAATAGGCGTCAGAACTAATCTGAAAAAGAAAAGAAAAACGGCGGATCTTGCTTTTGGTATTTAAATTAAACAAATTATTTATAATTAGAAAGAAAGAAAAAAAGAAAAGAAAGGAAAGGAATGGAAGGTAACTACTATCCGCGCTGAAAGTGAAGCCAGCTTCAGCACTTGCATTGCATTGCCACCACAACGCTCTCATTTCTCATTTCATAATTCGTATTCAATTTCGTTCCAATTTGCAAGAACTACCTACTCTCAGATCTGATTCTGACTCTCTCACATTCCTTCAACGCTTCTCTCTCTCTCTCTGCTTTCACTGTGAGCTTCTTTCTCTCTCCTGCTTTGAATTTGGTTCCGTGCAAAGAAGTGCTTCTTCTGTTTCTCCTTCTGCTGTTTTACTCACAATGTCCGATTCGCTGATACATTTGCTCCTTTGTCTTTGTTTACTCTGCTACTTAGCTCATCACCGCTAAAAGTGGAATTAGGTTTTAGCTCTCTCTTTAACATCTTGCTTAAACTGCAGATTCATGCTAACAATTCGCCAATTCACTGGACTAACGCCTCGCATGTGCTCGTAAATTAACTGTGTTGTTGATTGTTAGCTCATTCTTTCGTTGTTTATTTTATATATGTTAGGGAGCAGAACAGCTGGCTATTTTTGAAGATTTTAGGTTTAGAGTTGAGAATATTTGTTAAGAGGTTCTTTTATGGTAATCAAATTGAACTTGGAGTGATTTTACCTGAATATGAAAATTGAGATATAATGGAATTGTGATTGTAAAGTGAGAGAAGCTCAAGAGATTAGTTGGTGTTTGATTTATACATGAGCTTGATTTATGGAAAACTTGATATGCAGACTGCTTATTTGTTCATGGCAAAGTCAAGGCCAAAGTTATCAAACCAGGATTCTTCGTTGTCACCTACTGCTGCAAGATCAAGGGAGTGGGATGGGCCATCTAGATGGACGGACTACCTTGGACGGGATATGCCTTCTCCATTGTCGTCTACTAGCTCGAGGAATATGTATCATGATGGGCAGTCTCAGGGTTCAACTCCATCCCAATCACACAAGGGTATTAACATGCAGTGGGTTGTCCAGCTCACTGAGGTTGCCGAAGGTTTAATGGCTAAGATGTATAGGTTAAATCAACTTTTGGATTATCCAGATCCAATCAACCATGTCTTTTCAGAAGGATTTTGGAAAGCTGGTGTGTTCCCCAACCATCCTAGAATCTGTGTGTTGCTCTCTAAGAAATTTCCGGAACACTTCAGCAAATTACAACTTGAACGTGTAAGAAGTGATGTTTGACATGTTTTATATTTTGAATGTTGATTATGGCCTCCGCAAATTTCATCATTTGGTAGGAAAATGAATGCAGATAGATAAGATTGCTTGGGATTCATTGCAAGATCATGCAGAGCTTCATTTACAGAACCTAGAACCGTGGGTGCAGGTACTATTATGATACTTTTGTTTATTGGCATGTGTTTCCCATTCATAGCCCTTAACCAATTAATTTAATGTTTCCGCATTTCAGTTGCATGCCCTCATTAGACACCAAACATTTCACATCCCTTAACCCAATAACTAAGCTTTTAGTTAAGTTGATTCATGCACCTCATCTTACTTGACTTGCTGGATTAGTTTGAGTTATTGAGACTTGCCAAAGTCTACTTGTCAATATCTTTCTTTATTCACTGTATCTACACGAGCCATGCCTACATAGGAATCTTTAGATTTGTATTTTCTGTTATTCATTTCTAGATTTGTTTCTTTTTCTTAGGAGGAAAGGTTGGAAAGAGTGAAAGAGAAGGCTGAAGCTTGTACTAAAGTCTAAGCATGTAGTTTAGATTTAAAACCTATACAACACAAGGTTCTGTAGCACATACACATACTATTAGCATTGAGACCCAGGAGAGTAGTTTTCTTCAATCAAACTATTATATAATGTTGAGAAAGAGCAAATAGATTACCGAAAGATACATCAAAACCCTTTTACAACTTATCCCATTTTTTTAGTGATAGTTGCTTTATTTATAACAAGATAAAAGGACAACAAACTACTGCCAAGTGCTAAAATCTGTCTACGTTCTTTATTTGGAGATTGTGCAGTAATCCTATTGTTCTTGTCTTGTGTACTTTAGTTAAAGTACCATGTGTTTGCCATGCACTTTTTGTTTCCTTCACACACACTGGTTAAGTCGCACTACCTCCAAGTTCAAGCTTCTATCTGGACGAGATTTATAGCATAAATAATTTATCAATGCACTCTCATAGTTTCTTCATAAATAATTATTTTTGTGGTTTTGGCCCATGGTGGTTTACACGGGAGTTACCATTGCCAATATGAAGTGAGAATTGACAACCTTGGTGAACCTTGGTGCATTCTGAATGTTATTGTTTCTGTGTTTTGTAATTTATGATATGATAACTGTTCCTCCCCGTGTTGTACTTCTCCTTTTCTCCTCTCTAATTTTATTTTTTAATCCAAAAGAAAGTATGAATAGTTGTGATACATAATAGCACTGAACTCGGTCCTCATTAATAATTCAGGTTAAGGTTCTAATGTAGTTAGTACAATTTGAACAAACCTAGCTTTATAAAAGTCACAACTAACTAGTACCATATAAATAATATTTTTAAGGATTAAATATGTTTTTGGTCCCTTGCAATCTATAGGGTTTTCGTCTCTGTAATTTTAAAAAATGTTGATTTACAGTCAGTCTTTGTTACAAAAGTGTTGACGTGGCTAATGGTGGTGATGTCATGCTCATGTCATTAGGGATTAAAACTAAAAGTAACATTTATAGGGAATTAAAAAAAAGGTATTTTTCATCCTTCTAACAGGGTTTGAATATTAATATTCTTCCATTTCTACCTCTACACCTATCTTTTCATCCTTCTCTTCTTTCCTTCTCAAAGCTTCATCCTTTCTAATTGGTCCTAATTGTGATGAAGATGGTCCAAATTCTAACAGTTAGAATACTACAACTATAACCTTTGAATGACTGGGGTATCTAAAAAGACACACACACGTAAGAAGTTAGTGAATATTGGATTTGGCAGATTAGGAGAATAAAGACAAATAATGTCCTAGATTCATGCAGTTGGACTGTGCAATTAAATACAAACTGATTGGAAAGGAAAGTGTTCGAATTATGTTTGGCATAACTTGAGTTTCAGGTCCACCCTATTTGACATGTAGACTATGGAAGAAGACATTTAAGATTAAAATCATCTTTATAATACTACAATACTAGCATATTGGGACAAAACTTAGATGCAATACAATAAGTAATGTTCTCTAATTAGAATTGGAATTTTGCCTTATTAATATGCATTTACATTAAATGGAATCAATTTTGCGTAGATCACCGAGATAAAATTCCAATATGACTTGAGAATAGCATAGCACAAACAATTCATATGTTATTGTATCTAAGTTTTGTCTCTCATATTAATAAGGAAAAGTAAATAAGAAAAATAGGATGCTGATACTCTCTTATTGTTCATGGAGTTCAGAGTAGTAGTTTTGTCCTTGCAAATGTCTCACATTTTGTTTTTAATCCCTGTGAATTTTTTGTTTGTTTTTATTGTTTCAAATATGAAACTTTTCACTTTCAGTCCCTGATTTTTTTGGGGATACAAACCCTAAAAAAGTTACATGTACTAAAACCAGAAAACACCAATATTATATGGATCAAAAACATGTTTAACCCTTTTTAACATAGAAAACACTAATATTTTAATTGTTCAGGTTTCATTTAACACAAACAAGGATTTACAACATTGGTGCTTTATGCATTAAGACAATTTACTTTGTCATTGATGAAGAGAACATCAAAAGTTGTTTAGAAAAAGGTTCATTTGACCTTTTTGCTTTGCATTTTATTGTTATATTTGATCATTCTACGGTTTATGTCCTCTTGTATTTACCGTTTTGTATCACATCATCAGTAGAATATAGGTTAATAAAATGGAGCTGCTTCTGCATTCTCCTGCACTGGCCTTAATGAGATAGATTATAGGTTTTATTATCTTTGTGACTAATGATTTTGTTCAGTAATTATTTTTAATGGTGCCATTTATGTCAACTGTACTTTCTTGTTTATGCCATATCTTTTAGATTTTCAATTCATGTTAACTGAACTGATAAAGTAATGACTCTTTTGTGTATGCAGCTACTTCTTGATTTGATGGTGTTTCGTGAACAAGCTTTGAGACTTATATTGGATCTAAGCAGCACAGTAATTACCTTGTTGGTGAGTCTGAATATTGTTGCAAGGGTGTTGAAAGTGGTTTATACATATAACATTATATAATATATGCCTAGCGCTCTCTGTTTTGGGTGCAAAAGCTTTCATCATTGACGAATACCTGTACGAGTGATAGGGATTTGGGTATTTTGGGGTGTCTAAGTTCTACATTGAGTAGTATGGAAAGTTAGGTGGAGTATTTAATTGTTTCAATCTACCCCTTTCAAACTTTTAAGTTTGGGTTCCCAAGTGCTTACTGATTGTTATCAAAGTTGGTTGTTGCTTATTGGAAAACACTCAATACCTTGTGGAGGTTTCTGACCAACAACGAAGTTAAGTAGTTAAGTGTTGAAGAGTGAGTTGCCGAGATGTTGGGTATTATGGGATATCTAAGTCTCACAAAAAGTAGCATTAGGTGATCGCTGAAGTATTAAGTGTTTGATTCTTGCTCCCTTTAAGAACTAGCTTTTTAGGGTGAGTTTACCCTAGTGCTTGGGTACTTATTAGCTAGTAAGACAGAAAAGTGGAGAACCTCATCAAAATTTCCTGAGAGTTGTTCAACTTCAATGAAAGCTTCTGAAATTCATGTGTCATGGATCAAATATAGAATTAGAAGTGGGGCATGGTGAGTTTATCTTGACCCCATTTTAGCTTATTCATGTTAAATCATCACTTCATTGAAATGATTTTAATAGATGAACTAACACTGGAAATAAACTAATAAAAAATAAGTTAATAATTGCATATATCTCAAATAACTTCGCTGTGTTTTGCAGCCCCATCAGAATTCTCTTATACTACATGCATTTATGGACCTCTTTTGTTCCTTTGTGCGGGTTAACCTTTTCTCTGAGAAGGCAAGTTAATATCCCCTCTTATTTTGTTGATTCTTTTTATTAATGAGAAGCTTTTATGTTATTGACATCATTTTTATGGTCAGCTATATAAGATTATAATTATTTAAACCAATTCTCTCATAGCAGATGCCAAGGAAAATGTTGCTACAGACCTATAACCTTCTACATGCAATGTCAAGAAATGAGCGAGATTGTGACTTTTATCACCGGTAGGAAAATTTGATAAGTTTTCTTGAATTATTGTCTATTTCTGATAAACAATAATAGATAGACATAGATGTGTACTTACACATATGAACATACCTTATTGTATAATTCAGCTTTTAAGAAAATTCATTCATTTTTTTTTTTCATTAAGAGAGATGCATAAAAAAAATGTCTCAAACAAATGCTGATGGCCATTTGCTATATGCAATTATGCACACTTGGCTTGTGTTACTGGCATGCGTTAGTGTACAACTCCTTTACTGATTAATATAGTTAGTATTAACTATACTATAGGTGAATAAACTCTAGTTAGTATATTTGTTTCAGTTAGATAATTATAACCAACCTGTTTAGTTAGTATAACAGTTTTTGTGAATCAGTTATAACCATCTTGTAACTACTTTGTAGTGTAAATAAACTTTGTAATCAAAAGTGTAGGCGGCAATGTATATTTTCTCAGTTTAATAATATACAGAGTTTTCATTTCTCTTAACATGGTAAACAGAACTCTTTGATCCAAATTTTCTTTTTTCATGACTTCCACCACAAATGAAGACTCCAATTCGTGCAACTCTTGTCCAATCGAAACCTTTTCTTGATTGATGTTTCATCTTCTCATACTTTGGTGGCTGCTCCTACCATATTCTCTCATCAAATCACAGAAAAACTTGATGAGAGGAATTTTGGCATCTACAAATTGAACTAGTGATCATAGCACACAACCTACATCAATCAATTTGTTATTTCTCCTTGCATTATGTTAAAATAAGAGAGACATGAGCTAAATACCTAATGTGTATTAAGCACATAGGATTGTTTATTTATAAATAGGAAAATACAAAGATGTGGGCTTAAGCCCGTTAAATCTAGCACTCCTTCTCAAATTGGTGCATATAGGTTATATGTGTCAAGCTTGTTACAAATATAATCAATTTTTAGGTCCTTGTAATGATTTGGTATACACATTTGCTAGTTGGTCATTAGAATTAACAAACTCAGTCTTGATTTCTTCAAATATAATCTTTTTTAAAATAAAATGACAATTAATCTCAATATGTTTGGTCATTTCATGAAAGACAAAATTTGAACTAATAAGAAGAACGACTTGATTGTTACATATAAGTGTATTTGAGTGACCTCTCAAAAGTACAATTTTGTAAGTGATTGTTTAAGCTAAATATGCTTACAAATAGTTGAGGCCATAATTCTATATTCTACTTTTGTATTAGATGTTTCTACAACATTTTGTTTCTTGCACTTCCAAGAGATCAAATTGTCACTAATGAAGACATCATATTTGGAAGCGGTTCTCTTGTCATATGGAGAACCTGCCCAATTAACATCTAAATGACATGCAACTCTAGTGCAATTATTATGTCCTTATAATAAACCTTTTCCCATAAGAACCTTTAATATACTTCAATATATGAATGAAAATATTCTAATGATCTGACACATGCAGAATTAAGAAATTGACTCACCATACTGACTACAAAAGAAATGTTAGGGCGAATAACGGTAAGATAGTTCAACTTTCCAATCAATCTTCTATACTTCTGAGAGTGACTCCCCCTGATTAAGTTGGAGGTTGGCATTGGGATGCATGGGTGTATTAATAGACTTTGAATTCACTAATCCAACTTTCTCCAAAATACCCAATGCGTACTTGCTTTGAGAAATAACAATTTCATTGTTGGATTGAGCTACCTCAATCCCCATGAAATACCTGAATTTGCCAAGGTCTTTGGTTAGAAAGTGAGGACAAAGGTGTTGCTTCACCTATGAGATGCCATTGTAATCGTTGCTTATAAGTACAATATCATCAACATATACTACTAGATAAATACATCCAACACTTGAGTGACGATAAAATACTGAATGATCTGCCTAACTGTGAGTCATACCAAATTCTAGAACAATAGTCCTAACCAATCCCTAGAAGATTTGCTTGAGGTCATTTAAACATTTGCAGAGACGACATACTAATTCAGAAGACTCCTCCTGAGCAACAAAACCTGAAGGTTGGTCCATATAAATTTCTTCCTGCAAATCTCATTAAGAAAAACATTTTTGATATCCAGTTGATAAAAAGGCTAGCATTGAAGAGTAGCCATGACTATGAATAAGCAAACAAAGGTCATCTTTGCAATTGAAGAAAAATTGTCACCATAGTCCAACAAAAAAATTTGTGTATCACCTTTGGTTACTAGGCCAACTTTGAGACGATCAATAGTACAATCAGGACCAACTTTTATAGCAAAAATTCACCTATAACCAAGGACAAATTTCCCAAAGGGTAAAGGACGAAATTCTCAAGTTCCATTGTTCTGAAGAACACTTATTTCATCAAACATAGTCTAATGCTAACTTGGATGGACTAACGTATCATTTATAAATTTTGGAATCTACGCAGAAGAAATAGAAGACATACAAGTATAAAGTGATGAAGATAACCTATGATAACTCAAAGTAGTAGAATGAGGAGAGGGATTACGAGTATAATGTATACCTTTATGGAGGGCAATGGGAAGATTAAATTCAATTGTCGGAGTCAGAGGAGATGGAGATGGAGGAGTTGGCATTAGAAGAGAGTCATGTGGTGGATGATGGGGAGTTTTATGATAACTATATACCTGACGAGGTAGCAGAGGTAAGGGATCAATAGGTAGACTAGACACAATAGGAGGATCACAGACAACAGACATAGTGACTTGATAAGATTAAGATGTAGTAGGAGAAGGATTAGATTTAAAATAGAGGGAAGACTCATTGAAGGTGACATCAACTGAAACAAAATAGTGGTTGAAAGAAAATAGCGGTTAAGAGAAAGAGAGAAACATTTATACCCTTTTGTGATCTAGTGAATCCTAAAAAAACACATTTGTGCGACGTAATGGATAATTTATCTAGGCCAGGACCATAATTGTGAACAAGCATGTGGACCCAAAGACTCTAGATGGTAGGGATGAAGAAGGTCATGAGGAAGTAAAATAGAATGATGAATTTTTTTATCTAAAATCGAAGATGGCAAATGATTAATGACATAGCATGCATTAAGGACAACATCACCCCAAAAACGTTAAGGAACCTCATCATGGATTAAAATTGTGGGGTTGCTTTAACAAAATGTCTATTGCGCTCAACCATCCCATTTTGTTGAGGTATATATGCACATGGGGTTTGATGAAGAATGCCATGAGAAGTCATAAAATTTTGAAAAGAATGAGAAAGATACTCATTGCATTATCACTATGCAAAGTTCAAATAGAAACTCAAAATTGATTTTTAATTTCATTGTAAAATGATTGAAATATAGAAAATAACTTATAATGATCTGCCATTAAAAATAACTAAGTACATCTTGAATAATCATCGATAAAGATGACAAAATACTAAAATCCTAAACTTGACTTAAGACAACTTGGTCTCCAAATGTCAAAATGAATTAAGGTAAAAGAAGACTGTTGAAGTATTTATTAGATTAAGTGTATCTTGTTGGACATTTATGAGATTAGTTGTAGACCTAGTTCCTAGAATGCATCTGTTTATCTTCTCTAGGATTAATCATGTCTCTCTATTTATTGTATCTCTGAATCTGTATTTTTATCTCCTATAAATAAGAGAACACAAGAAGATGATTTCAGGCTCTCAAAATCAGTTCTTTATTTTCTTTTTCTATTTCAAGTTGGTATCAGAGCGGGTTCATCCCGCTCTGCCTGTCTCTGTTATTTTTCTGGCATTAATCGCCGTCCGCCGCCGTCCGCCGCCGGTGCTGTCTTCTCCGGCGCCGTTTTCCTCTCTGACACTTGGGTTTGGCTCGCCTCGACCCAACCCCAGTGTTTGCTTCCTCTATCTCTGCCTCACGCGCCTCCACGCGCCACCCTTGTCCGCGGCTTCCTCCGCGCGTGGGCCTCACGCGCCGTCCTCTCGGTGGCCGTTTTGCTCCGGGCCACCTCTATCCGGCTCGCCTCGTCGTCCCGGTGCCGGATCCGCACTTTGTTTTGTGTTCTCGGTCACAAAACGTGGTGGGTCTCGTGTTTTTCTCTCGCCTCTCTCGGCCCCGTCTCTCGACAAGCACTCTAACAACACGCTGGTCCTCTCTTGTTTCCCGGAAAATGTCGGAATCGTGTCTCGTATCTTTTCCGGGACTCCGACTATAACCACGTAAAAATTAAATGGAAAAAATTATTTGTCTTGGGCTTCCTCTGTTGAGCTCTGGTTTCTAGGTCAAGGAGTTCATGATCATCTAGAAGAAGATGGGAGTACTATACCAGCAGATCAGGCTCCTCAATGGAAGAAACTGGATTATCAACTTTGTGCACTATTATGGCAATCTGTTGAACCACATATTTTGAGCACTCTTCGAGCCTTTAAGACATGTAATTCTTTTTGGAAAAAGGCCCAAAATATCTTTGCTAATGATATTCAACGACTTTATGATTCTGCTAATAGACTTGCCTCCCTTAAGCAAGAGGATAATTCCATGATGTCCTTTGTTGCTGAAGCTCAGTCAGCTGTTGAAGAATTAAAAATGTTCCTGGAGGCAGAATCATTAGAAGAAAGAAAGACGAAGCTGGATAAATTCTATATGGTAATGATTCTTAGGGCTATGAATCCAGAGTTTAATCATGTTAGAGACCAGATTCTAACTGGAGAAGAAGTTCCTTCTACGGAGAGTTTAATCACAAGGCTACTTCGTGTTCCTTCTATCAAAAGCAAAAACAGTCAGGAACTTGCTGATTCTTCCGCCATGGTTTCTGCTCGTGGAAGAGGTAATCACAGCTCTAGAGGACGTGGTGGGAAAGGACGTCCTCAGTGCTCTCATTGCAAAAGAATGGGACATACTAAGGAAAATTGCTTTGCTCTGCACGGCTTTCCTGATAAGGCAGCTAATACCTCAAAATCTGAAGTTGATGAGCCCAAGTTCTCTCATGAAGAGTATCAAGAATATTTAAGGATGAAATCAACCAATTTGGCTCAAACATC